AAAAAGATTTTAATATGACAGGAACAGTGGAAATATTCCATTCCCGATACTTTTAGTGCAGCCCTTGTATTAGTATGAATATCATTTAATTTTAACTAAGATTTATAATTTCAGTTCCATGTACCTAACATTTAATTATCTTTTTGATGTATTCAAAAATTTCCATAGCCGTATTTCCTTTTCTATGTTTTATAACCGCCATTAATCAATAAAGTTATTATATATATACAATTAAACTCTTTGGGCCACAGCATCTACTTATTATTGCTGCGATTTAAGTTGAAAAGTCGTGTATCGTCAATTTTTACTCAAAAAAGACCATTGTGCCATTTTAGGATTCCATTTTTCCGAGTTTGGACACGTGGTACAGCCATGCTGCAGTTATATTATTAGTATAGTTGTAGCACAAATGAATTGACTCGACCGGCGTAGGACCACGCTCTCACAGAATATCAGCGTAAGATAGAAGCTACATGCTGCTCTGTTTCGTATGGTAAGTGTAGAGAACCGGAGACCCTTTTGACTGAAAACAAGGCATTCCATCTTAGTGCTCAATTTTGATTCTTAATTGAGGTTATAATATAAAGATGTCTATGGGCAACAGCAACCACTTAACATCAGGTGGATTGTGTGCTCGTTTGTCACCCTATCCTATAAAAAATCCTCATCAGCCACTGAACTGAATTTGAAAAAATTACTCAATAACATAGGCATGGAATTAAGTTCCTTGAGAGTCGTAACTTTGATAGAATAATGCAGACGCGAAGGAGAAGATAAGTGTTAGTTCAATTTATTGTGTGAAATATTTAGGATTTAAGAATTGGAATTTCATTTTCTATATCACAATGAATAAAGCGATTGGGGAATAAAGCAGGAGAAACATCACAGCGAAATCCTATCGAAAAGATCGATGGTCTTACATGGATAAGTGAGAAGTAATATTTAAAATGGTTAATCTCGATATAATTTCTTATTATATAACTCAAATACTACACCTTACTATTATTTCCATGCAACCGTCACTATACGGTATAAGAGAATCCACTACCCAACAATTATCATGCCGCGGGTGTCATAAGTGAGCAGCATCTTCCCGACATTTTTTAAAATGTTACCCCCGCACTGGGATTTTGTCTTATATCGTGGAGGTAGTTCACAAACATAAATTTCACAAGGTCAAAAATCCAGATCCGGAACAATTTTTTGTAGGCCATAGAACACTTATTCCGCGGCTCCCAGCGCAGCAACACATTGCTAAGCCAAACTTAATGCGCCAAAACTGTAGCTGCTACTCCGTCTGTCAAGCGTGGTAACTATGGTAAATATTCCTCCTATGAGGCAATCCATGGAGGAGGTCTATGTTCAGCAGTGGACTATTGATAGGTTGATAGTTGATAGATGACTGTGACAACATGATTTAAAATTCCTATATACCATGTGAGCGTGGATACTTAACTGCATGGTGTATCTAGGTGTAATAACCAATAAAACACTACATATATTATATTTTTGGACCAAATACACCATAAATAATTGGATTTGTCACTGTATTTCATTACAATTCACTTATTCGTTCGCTATTTCTTTTATTTGCTTCATCGACGTTTGTAAGATACATTGCACTTAAATTTTATTTAAATTAACAGCTCGTCCGTTTACATAATCGAAACTAAATATTCAAACTATTTCGTGCCCAACTCACTTAGATTTATCAATCTATTTTAAAAACAATGTTTACAAATTTAATTTAATTTAATTTTATTTTATTTTAAGAGATATTGCATGCCTGAAGTGCAAAGCGCGTTACTATCCTGATCTGTGGCTTGTTCAGTTAAAATTACAATTACCGACATCACAATCATATTGAACATATAAATTATATACAAAGCACATTGTTAGAAAGACAAATGATTGTTGAAGTAATTTTTTTTAAATCGATCAATTGCTATTTAAAAACCACTGGCTCTGGCGTTTGGCTTATGGTGTAGATTTATCAAGTCCGAATGAAGTGGTAAACACGATAACTTTTGAAAATATCAATTATTCAAACTACTTTTACGGATTTTATCGCGTTTATTTTACTATTATTTTTAATTCCCGACGTTTCGGGCACTTTCCAGCACCCATGGTCACGGGGGACTGAGATGACTGACGTCCTGATATCATTGTTAAACCCGGAGTACCTTCAGCTTTTTTTAATTATTGTGTCCGATCTATGCAAAATGAACTGACTATGTCCTGAGGTCTTGCAGTGGTATGCTTGGGTTTAGTTTTAAATTTATTAATTATAGGATCCCAAGCAGGTGGTAGTACCCAGCCTCCTTCTCTATTGAAATTAGGATGTTTTTTTAATTTCAATAGCCTCACGTATCATCCTTGGTAGGAATCGGTGTTCTTTCGCGAGGATTTGTGGTCTATGAAATCTGATGTAATGGTTGGGGCCGTCTAGGATATGATCTCAAACAGCAGACTCTCCCGGAACGTTGATGCTTCACATCAGCTATATGTTCTTTTACGCGGGTTTTAATTGACCTTTTTGTTTGTCCTATATAAGAGAGACCACATTCACAATCAAGCTTGTACACTCCTGCATCTTGTAGAGGAACATGACACTTGACTTATGGTAGGAACTGACTAATCTTCTTCGGCGGCATGTAGAATGTTCTAAAAGAAGCTCGCTTCAAGATGTAGCCAATCTTGTCTGTGACACCTCTTTTTTTTTTTAAAGAATATCAACAATGCTATAAACATTACTAATATTCCCCTTTACCACTCGTGGTAAGCTTAAATTGCTTGTGTTACGAGTGGTTCACGCCAGTAGTCGAATGGTAGATTCGAACCCACGACCTTTTTTAGTTCGCGGTCCGCGCCCTGCCATTAGGCTACTGTCGCTTGTACCTACCTACACATATGGTAGTACAGCAGGCACACGCTCGACTGTGGCCGGCTTCACTTGGTCACTGTGACGTAGGCGCGGGACCCGAAGCTTGTTATCGTGCAGAACTTCATTGACGTGCTGAAGCTCGGCGGCCAGGTGTTTGCTGTCACAGATCCCTCGTGCTCTCTGTAACAAAGATTTGCCCACGGTAGCTAACTGTGAAGGATGGTGGTGAGATTCACCGTTTAAATATCGGTTTGTATGGGTCTTTTTCCTATACACAGTGTGACCAATGGTGTTGTTAGGATTTCGGATGACTAACACATCTAGGAAAGGTAAGGAATTATTTGCCTCTAACTCCATAGTAAATTGAATTTTAGAGTTTATGGAATTAAGATGTTCTAAAAGTGCAGTTATTTTGTCTGATGGTAAAATTGTGAAAATATCGTCTACGTACCGCTTGTAGATCCTTGGTGTAACAGGTGCAGTAAGGAGGGCTTTCTCCTCAAATTCTTCCATGAATATATCGGCGACAATGGGAGATACAGGTGAGCCCATCGAAACACCATCTACTTGCTTGTAAAACTCTTCCTTCCACAATAGATAGCCAGATGTAAGGCAATGTCTGAGTAATACTGCATATTCTGCTGGCATATTATTTTCCTCCAGTTTCCTAGTTATAATTGAGATGCAGTCTTCAACAGGTAGGCATGTAAATAGAGACTGAACATCAAAACTGACCATGGTTTCATTGTCAGTAAGACGTAGGTCTTTTATCTCACTGACAAAATGGTATGAATCCTTAGTGTGAGCTCTTGTGTGTCCTCTGAGTGGTGATAATATTTTAGCTAAGTATTGAGCCAATCTGTAAGTTGGCGAATCAATCTGACTCACTATTGGACGGATCTGAGAATTAACAATTTTTGAACAATTTTCCTATTATATCATAAATGTTATTCATATTTATTATCATAATATTTTCTACTTATATTTCTATTTCTTAATACATTTTTAATATTTTAACAGAGTTATACAAGATATTGATATTGAAATGCAATATTAAGCCTTCACTTTAACATAATAATATCCGAAATGTATTTATTTTAAATTTATACTTATTGATGTATTTTTATTAAATATATTTTTTGAAATATTACTTCCAAGATAACTTTAGACGGATTTATACAGAAATCAATTATAATTATTAATAATAATAATGCGCCCTCACAAAGTCAAGGCCAGAATTAGCTGTCATTCTATATTTTTAACGTGATTTTTATTTTAATGCGCTGTTGAAAGTAAAATACAGCTTGCTGTAAAGTGAAATATATCTGTTGTGAACTAGAAACTTGAAAACTGTGAATTTTATTGTCAAATTTCGAAATTATGTAAATGTAACAAACATAAATAGAAAAGCAAATACATGCGCACGCCTTAATATTTCATAGTTGTGTCAAGACAATTTCAAAAAATATCAGTATGACCTACTACTATTATTCTTTTGATAACTAGGGTGAAGTACCCAATTATCAGCACTTTAAGAGTTCGTGCTAATTTAAGCCTATTTATTACTGTGAAAAATAGTTCTTTACCTGTTAAGCAAATTTTATAGTTCTAATATTTAATAAGGAAGACGATATTAAAAGAAAAAACATGGTTGACCTCTAACTAGGTTTTTTAGACAAGTAAGAATAAAAAATGGGACTCTCACCATTTACTGGCACCATCGCCCCCAATTAACAGCATAGAGCGAGCTAATTATCAGCACATAACTATCACTGTTAGGAAATGCATTATAAAAATATTTCCAGTCTAAAATCTGTTTTTTATTTATTTATTTATAGGTAGTATTAGTAGGTAACTACCCTGTAATACATAACAATCACTTATAATCTAATAATACTTTTATAAAATTGACAAAGTTTAGCATTTATAAAGTTTTCTTAGGTAAGAATTTAAATGATTTGTTCAGACTTACGAAAATCTCACTAGAAAGTGTTTTACTTAAATATAATATGGTAGGTATCAACAATCATTAAAAAAACTTAAAATTGCACATAAAAAAGTGTACCAGTAAGTAGCTAAAAAAATAAAAAAGGATAGGCTCTTGCTATCACATCTTCTAATCCTCTTGAAAGATCTTCTCTAGTTCTTGTAAAGAGTAAGTCTTCTTTCTTTTATTGTTTATTATTTTTTCCAACGTGTCTATTGGTTTGTTATCTCTTTGACCAACTTGCGTGGTTCTGGGTGGTAAATTAAGTTTAATGTCGGAAAGAATTTGGATTTTTTTATTTGGTGGATACATACTCTGCTCTTCGGCTTTTCTTTTCTTAATGTTAAACGGGTATTCATTTTTAGGTGAGGATGGTATATTCGTGTTATAAATGATACCTTCGTGTTTAAATGACTGGTGGTGATTGATGAAAGTCTCTTGTGATTTATTTTCTTTTGTCTCCTGTATATTATTAGCTTCTGTCTCTTCTTTTTTGGTATATATTGTCCCTTTTGCTTTCTTGTTAATCTTGTTTCTGGTGGTTTCTTTTGTTTTGTTTTTTTCATCTTGTTTAAGTAATCTGTTCTTCTTGCGAGTCTCTTGTTCTTCTTCTTTAAGTTTTTTAACTTTTAATTTGTCGTTTTCAGTCTTCTGCCATTCCGCTGAAGTAAGCACGAATGATGATCTCTCTACATTTTTAACACCTTTTCGTTCAGGTGTTTTTTCAGCAATCAAAACGTGTTGTAATTTGACTGGTGTTAGTAAATATTGTTGCCTATCAAGACATACCAATTGCGCACTACTAAGACAATCTTTAGTATTGTTATAACATTGTTCATTATAGTAGTTCGTTATAGAAGTTGTCATAGCTTGCATATCATCTACAAAATTTTCTGCTAATATTACTGGTAATTGATCAATGTCTTGAAATCCAACTGCTTCGAAATTTTCAATTTCGATGTGAGTTTCTTTGATTGTGGACGTATCAGTTTCTTGATTTTCAAAAAAAACAACAAATTTTCTTCAAAATTCTTTCTGTTTCTGTCAGATTTTCAAGCGGCGTTCTTTGCAGAAATGTAACCTTTTCTTGCCCTACAATGTTATCTAAAGTGTCGCGTGTCATGATTTTTTCTTTATTTGAATTGTCTTGTAGTTTTAAATTGTCTTCTTTTGGTTCTTCATCGTGTTTACTTCCTTTACCCAGACATTTATTGTAGTTAATGGCATCAGAGTTCCAGGGACATATGCCGGTAGTCCTGAATCCATTTATAATTGTCGTATCTTTGACACCAACCTCTAAAGCCTCCTTGAGAACAGGTACGAAATTGTTCTTTGTGAGAGTCTCCAAAGGATGATCTCTCCTCCATTTCAGGACACTTTTCTTCCATGCAGTTTTGAGAGGTCTAAATGCTGACACGTCTGCAGGCTGAAGAATCCGTGTGGCGTTGGGATAAAGTGCTATCAAAACAATCTGCAATTTGCTGCACAATTCACTTACTTCAAGACTGAGATGTGTTTTGTGTCCATCTACAAATAGTATGACGGGGAATGTTACCTTTCTTTTGTAGAGGTAAGGATGAAACACATTTTTGATATAATCGTAGAAAAGTTCCGACTTCATCCAGCCAGTATCGCTCAGACCAATACCCCACTCATCTGGAACTGATGATGTTATATCCTTGGGAAGCCTCTTGTTGGGAAACACAACTAATGGAGGTGTTACATCTCCGTTGGCGCAAAATGTAAATAGTACAGTAAGGGCTGTTTTAGCTGTAGCGTGATCCACTTCATACACGTCTCTTTCTCCTCGTAATGAAATAACTTTACTATTTTTGGGACATAACTGAAAGTTAGATTCGTCTCCATTAAAAACACGAGCTGGGTCCTGTAAGATGTCAACATAGTTATTTTCCTTAAGATAAAGTTCAATTTTGTGGAACCAACCTTTGATGTCTTTTTCTGACACATTAGCACTGGCTGATGTGACAGCTTCGGCAGTGCGTTCACCGAGTTCTGGATGACGGCGCATAAAAAGGTCATACCATTTTTTTCCAGGTATGTCATCTTTAAAAGGATTTTCTCTTCCTGACTTCTTTAAGAAGTTTGCTACACTTAATTGTAAATCAGATTTTCTTTTTGGAAATCCTTTCCGACAGCAATCTACAACCCACTGTACCAAAACTCCTTCTTCTTCTATTGACAGTATTGGCCTAGGACCTGGTAGATCCTTGCACGGCTTTCTTAATCGCGACTGGATAGTCCCTCTTGGCACATTGTAAGTTTTCGAGGCCAATTTTTTGGACATACCTTTTTTAACTGCATCTAAGGCTTTTAGTAGATTTTCCTTTGTGTACATTTTTCGTTTATTTGGTTTATTTTCTTCTTTCGGCTTCATCGTAATTGGATAAATGATTCTGAAAAAAAGAAAAGAGATGATGAGATTCTATGAAAACCAATTTATCAGCATGCTTCTGATCCAATTATCAGCATCATGCTGAAAAATGGTAAATATAGTTTCAGCACCATGCTAAGATTTGGATTTTGATAATATAAATTACTTTTACAAAACAAAATGAATTCTATCCATAAAATAAAAACATTTTACATTAAAAAGTATGAAATTAGTATTTATGTACTTATTTCCATTTATCAGCACCAGTGCTGATAATTTGGAATTTACAAAATATTCGATCCATTTATCAGCACCACGTATTTTACCAATTTATCACCATAACCTCAAATTCTACTCTTCAGATTATCCTCATAAACTATCTCAAATATCAGAGAAATCGGTAGTTTCAGTATAAAATATGTAAAAGATCTGATATGTCATAAAATGTAAAGACGTGAACTTACCAGCGATCACAAGAAACAGGCAAAAACAGAAGAAACTGCAGGACACAAATGTTTATTCACACAATTTCCGCCATTTTGAAGTCTCAAAGTATGGTGTTGCCAATAGTAGGATTCCAAAAACATACATTTATTTATTTATTAGTGTGGTAACCCAAATTAGTAAGTGAAAACCTTAGAATTTGACAATTTATTCGGAGTGCTGATAATTTGGTGCAGTGCTAGCGTTTGGGTTATTCACCCTAATATCCATAAATTAGGTTTATTAAATTAATTTGTATAGTTTTACTACAGAACAAAATTCATATTCAAATTAAGAATTTATAGCAAATTTTGCTACAATTTCGAATTAAATCTGATTGAGGTACTCTCCCTAATCCGAAGTTGTGTTTTAGGCATTGCGTTGAATCGCTTTAGAGAAAGAATTTAGAAATTTAATCACATATACGTATCTACGTGGTAGAGCCATGCTGCAGTTATATTAGTAGTATAGTTGTAGCACGAATGGGTCGGCTCGTCCGGGGAAGGACCACGCTCTCACAGAATACCAGCGTGAAATAGTAGCTTAATGCTGCTGTATTTCGTATGGTGAGTGCAGAGAACCGGAGACCCTTTTTACTGGAAACGAGGCATTCCATCTTAGTCCTCACGGGTGACAACGCATCTGCATTTTGATTCGTAATCGAGGATAGATGTAGATGTCTATGGGCCACAGCAACCACTTACCATCAGGTGGACTGTGTGCTCGTTTGTCACCCTATCCTATAAAAAAAAAAAAAAAAAAAAAAAAAAAAAAATCTATGTTCTTGTAATGAAATAGACTTCGTGGTTAATCTCAATATAAAGAATGTCTCAATTGAAGTAAAATAATTTAGTAAGTAAAACATCGAAGAAGTTACAATTTATATACGTCCCGCTATTGGACACATGCCTCCCCTCAAGTGTACAAAGCAGAACTATCCCGTGAGCATCACAAGAGGCAACATAGTGAAACGAACCAGGTGGCAGCATCTTCAAAATAACAATAAAAAACTGCAGTTGCAAACCCGCTTGCCAAGCGCTCATAATGGTAAATATCTGCTCTATGAAGACATCTATTGGGAGGCATGTATTCAGCAGTGGACTTTTTGTTGACTTTAATGGTAATGATGATGTTAAGAATCACTTATTGCACCACTTTGCTCTTAAGCATGTTGGATGACATTACGCTTTCTAAATATTTTTATTTCTTAGAGATGCAGGCTTTCTCATCATGGTAAATCACCGTGGTAAATCAGCACGTAAAACTGAGGTAAATAGTTTAATTGATGTCGGCGGGGATCGAATCCGGGTAACTCGCATAGTGTGAATTTCTACAGTGGTCGCTTATCTATATGAAATAATGAATTCTATTGTGGGTCTATCTCAACATACGTGAAATTACCTTTGATGTGTTTGAGTAGTACTCAACATGTTCGTCTAATACAGCTGAAAAGCTTTTTCTCACTTATATTAGAGAGTAAGGGTTTTGATTTTCTTTTACAACTTTCAGTAGGTAGTCACGAAGAGATATACTTAGTTATTAAGCTTGAAGAGACAAAGGCAAATCTCTGAAAATAAATGCAAATTTAAATTGCAGCATTCACAGAGCTCAACTAATGGCTTTGTTAACATCGCTAAGTGCTGTTAAAATGTTTTAATATTTATATAAAAATAAATCTGCGGAATCAAATAGAAACATATAATATATTGGTATATTAAGGTATTTATATTACAAAACAAAGAATAGCAAAGTCCTCTTACGATAAGACAGTGCGATTTACCATCTATGACTGCATCACAACTTACCACCAAGTGGATTTGTAGTGTTATAAATTTTATTCTGGTGGAAAGGCAGATGCTGTCAAATTATTTTACTCCGTGGTTGTATACATTACGAACGACAAAGTAAACCGTTTAATTCAAATGCGTGGAATATTGGCAAAAGAAAATTGAAATCTATAACAATATTTTTGTACGGAACATTTGTCAGAATAAAAAGTTTACGACCAACTGTTTATAAAGATTTAAATTATGCACGTTTCTTGTTATATATAATTTTTAATATTTTGTTGTATACGATGTGTAAAATACCTATTAATATTTAAATCAAGTGTTGTCAAAGTGATATTTTCTAAGATCAGTTTTCATGTAATTTATTATTGGAATCGAGTCATTTTATCTTATTGATTTACTTTGAAAACTATCAGATGAAGCAAACAAGTATCGAGCATTTTTATGTTAGAAGTACATTTTCGCACACATCTGTTTTCAAAATTATATGAAACAAGTAACTAGATCAAGTTAGATCACAATATAAATTAAAGTTAACAACTAGTTTGCAGTGCCTTAATGAGCAAAATTTTATACCTTGCAGCAAATTGTGACATATATTTATACGTTACGCCCGTCAAGTCCTAGGAGGTAGGCAGAGTTCAATGAGCAGCGATCCATCGGAGCACGTTAAGCAAAAACTATGGAAATAGAAAATTGTAAAATAAGTGTTAGTTGGTTAACCCATTGCCTACGTAATCACAAACTGTATATCTCATTAGTTGTCTTTTACGATATGCAAGCCAACGAAGTTGGTACAACCTTTTTAGTTATAAATCCCATATAAGTCCCAGGCATACATGGGACGTACTATTGGTAAAACATCTATTAAAAATTAATTGCCATATAGTTTTAGGACTTTAAATTTACCAACATATTAAAGTGAAATGAAATTGAATATGACTTATACATTTAATAAATGATTATTTAATTAAGTAGAATTTAATATGATAGATATTTTAATATTATTGTACGGACAGGATATAGTAAATCTAATATGAAATAAGTAATAAGACATCCTTATGTTACCTATGTTACACAATAAATGTATTTGGTTTATTTGATTTAATATCCAGGTTACTCTAGTTCTACTGCGAATATCCTCGTTTCGAATTCTATCATGCAGACAAACACCGAGCTTGAACCACAACCAAAGCTCGCTG